GGCTTGGTTGGTTCCCTGCCCTACCCACGTGGGATACTGATCACTGGCTCCTGGTTCCGGCCTCGGTCTAGCTCCAGCTGTTGTGCGCACTGGGGGGATGAACCACTGGATGACAGCACGCGTGAGCTCCCTCTGTCCCTCCTCCCTTTCTCTGTTTCAAATAATTATTTTAAAGAACATACAACCGCACTCGTGAGGCCAGTCCTGCTGTAGAATTAGGATGCTCTAAGCCCCTGACGGGTGGAGAACAGAACCAGCACTGCTCTGGGCCGGCTCGTCCGAGCCTAGCTGCCCTCCTCACGTGTCCCTAAGCTGCGGCTCCCTGAAAAGAGCCCCAAGGGCTGTTTCTCAAACCTGAGGCATCTGACGCCACACGCAGGTGCCAGACCGAACGAGCCGGAGCCTTCCGGGAGCAGCGCCAACAGGGTACTGCAGGGTGCACAGGCAGGGCTTCCTGGGAAAGACGGACGAGGTCAAGGGGCAGGGGCTGCAGAGGCCCCTCCTGCTCCAGACAGACTGCGCCACCTGCACCTGGAAGTGTGGCCCCGGGCAGAGAGGAAGCTTCTTCAAGTGTCAGAGTCCCAAGAAACACACTGGGTCTGCTGTAATGACCGAATACGACCGCACGCGGAAAACGCCCAGCAGAGCACCACTGCTGGGTACTGCAGGACTGCAGGAGCGAGGCCTGGACAGTCCTCTTCCCGCCGCATCGTCCCCGCAGGCCAGAGGCACCAAGTCCTCATGCGGTCACCTCCACTCAGCACTTCCCCCCCGGGCAGAGGGAACCCTGTCCACACTGCAGTCACCTCCACTCAGTCCCCCCAGGTCACAGGGAACGCTGTCCACACTGCAGTCACCTCCACTCAGCCCCCTGGGGCAGAGGGAACCCTGTCCACACTGCAGTCACATCCACTCAGCCCCATGGGTCACAGGAAACCCTGTCCACACTGCAGTCGCCTCCACTCAGTCCCCCTGGGTCACAGGGAACCCTGTCCACACTGCAGTCACCTCCACTCAGTCCCCTGGGTCAGAGGGAACCCTGTCCACACTGCAGTCACCTCCACTCAGTCCCCCCTCCCCGGGTCAGAGGGAACCCTGTCCACACTGCAGTCACCTCACTCAGCACCCCCGGGTCACAGGGAACCCTGTCCACACTGCAGTCACCTCCACTCAGTCCCCCTGGGTCACAGGGAACCCTGTCCACACTGCAGTCACCTCCACTCAGTCCCCCTGGGTCACAGGGAACCCTGTCCACACTGCAGTCACCTCCACTCAGTCCCCCTGGGTCACAGGGAACCCTGTCCACACTGCAGTCACCTCCACTCAGCACCCCCGGGTCACAGGGAACCCTGCCTACACTGCATCTCCTCAGCCCCACGGGTCTGAGGGAACCCTGTCCACACTGTGCAGTTCTATCTACCCAGAGGCTGAGGATCCCTGGGGGAAAGCACGTGGCTGATGCCCCCCACCGTGGCCTCTGGCAGCTCTGCACCACAAGGCCAGGCCGGCCTGTGCCTGTCCCCCGGATGCAGGGCTACTGAGGATCTGGACCACAGGGGTGGAGGGGGCAGCGGATCAGCAAATCACACTCACCAGTAAAACTGCTCTCCTGAAGCCGTGGGGCCGGGGGGTGGGGTGGGGGGCGGGCGGAGGAAAGACAAATATTAGAAGGGACTCTCCCTGGGATCCCTGTCTCAATCATCCGAGGTCCACAGCTAACAGCCATTCACTCTCCCCTCCCCAGCTCCGCCCCACCCAGCCCGCAGTACGCCAGGATGTTGCAGCATGCAGAGGCCACAGTGAGGCAGGGCACAGCGCGGCGGGACCAGCGCCGGGCAGAGGCGCGTAGGTGTCCTTACCTGGCAATGGCACCTCGCTGTGTGAAGGGCCAGAAGGCCGTGGGTGCTCCAGCAGGGCGAGCGGGAACAGACGATCCCACCAGAGGCACAGAGGCCAACGGCCAGCAGGAGCAGGGGCGCCCATCCGGGGCTCCCATGGGCTTCTGCAGGGTCAGGGCGCAGGGAACATGGCTGCGCGGCCTGCACGGGGGCAGCAGGGCCCCACTGTGCACCGGGAGCACAGCACCAGCAGGAGCCCTGCGGAGGCCTGCCCTGACCCGCCCTGCTGCAAAGCTCCTCCCCCGTCCTAGCCAGCCAGCCCGGGCACATTCCTTCTTCCACGTGGAGGGACGTGGAGGACGGAGGGACTCAGCCCCCAGAAACCTCCAGTGCCCCACCTGAAAGACGACGGGGCCCTGGTGGGGAGAAAAACGACAGGAAAGGGGCCAGCATCAGGTTGGGGGGTGCACCCATTGCTTCAGCCCTCCCACTCCTCAAACGCCTTGCAGATCCAAGACGTCCAGGAAACATGCTACCTTGGGTCCCACGGACATGTGCTTCCTGCCATCACCGAGATTATTAATGGCACTACGAAGCACTGCTTCGCACCGGTCCTGCAGATACAGAGGCGACCCACACACCAGTCAGCGCGGGGCAAAGAAGGGCATAACGGCATGGGGTGCAGGTAACGGCATGATGGTGCCCCAGGTGGACCCGGCTCTCAGGACTCCGCCAGCGCTCTCGACCTGCATCTGCTTCCAGCTCTTCTGGGAAAAAGGCTCCGTGCCAGAGGGGCCTCCAGCTTCAGCACAGCGGCCTCCGAAGCCCGGAGCCGAGGGAGCAGCCCGCGCGCTGACCTGGTTTCCTGTGGTTTCCGCTGCGGGAGCGAGGCTGACGAGGCTCCCTCTTCAGGGGACCCTCCCCACCACCCCACAGCTTCCTCTCCCTCACGGAGTACCTGAGCTGCTCAGCCCTCATTCTGCACCCACAGAAAATCTGGGGCGCGCCTCCCAGGCCAAGCATCTCAAGAGTGTCGTGCCCGGCAACCCAGTTGAGAACGCCCTTCTGCAGCCGGACCCAGCCTTCTTCCAGACAACTCCAGTCCGAGGTCTCCAGGGTCCTCCTTACACATTATCCTCAAACCACTCTCTAGCTTTTGAAGCCATTACAAGATAAAGACCTTTCATTCGTTTTATTTAAGTACCTAAAGATGCTTTCTTTAAAATATTTATTTTTTTATTTGAAATATAGAGTCACAGAGAGAGGTAGAGCCAAAGAGAGAGGTCTTCCATCCGCAGGCTCACTCCCCAGATGGCCTCAACGGCCAGAGCTGAGTTAATCCAAAGCCAGGAGCCAGGAGCTTCTCTATTCTTCCATGCAGGTGCGGGCCCCAAGGACTTGGGCCATTTCCACTGCTTTCCCAGGCCACAGCAGAGAGCTGGATCGGAAGTGGATCAGCTGGGACTCAAACTGGCACCCATGTGGGATACCGGCACTGCAGACCGGGGTATTTAACCTGCTACGCCACAGCTCAGGCCCAATCTTAAGATTTTTTAATTCATTTGAGAGGTAGAGTCACAGTGAGAGGAGACACAGAGAGAGGTCTTCTACCGGCTGGTTCACTCCCCAAATGGCCACAACAGCTGCAGCTGAGCCGATCCAAAGCCAGGAGCTTCCTCCAAGTCTCCCACATGGGTGCAGGGGCCCAAGCACTTGGGCCATTTTGTACTACTTTCCCAGGCCATAGCAGAGCTGGATTGGAAGAGGAGCAGCTGGACTCAAACCAGGGCCCATATGGGAGGCACACACTGCAGGCAGAGAGTTAACCTACTGCAATAGCCCAGGACTCTTTGTTACTTTGTTTCTCCTGTGCCTGAGAGGTGATGAGGCAGGTGCTCTGTGGCTGAACACGTGCCAGTTACGGCACATTTCATCTAAGTCATCTATCTGTTTCACAGTTTGCTACCTGAGCCTCCGAAGCAGCCAGTGCCAGGTGAGGTTTGTCTTCATTTCACAGAGGGAGAAATGAGGAAGCAGAGGGGACAGTGAGTTGGTGAAGGTCAAAGTCTGCAGCTCAGGGAACTCCCCACCATGCTCGGCACCTCGGTTCTCGACCACTGCGTGTCCCTCCTCCCCCACACTGCTCCACCTTCCTCTGCTCTCGGAAGCCGGAAGGGTCAGCCAGACACAGCACTAAGCCTGGCCTTGGAGTCCATCTCTGCAAAACAGACAAATGGTGCTTGGCTGTCTAGGGATGGGTTAGGGGCACTCCCCCAACTCCCAGCACACAGTGCTTCACGTCTGCATCAGGCGCTTCCCGGGCCCTGCTGTGGTGCAGCGCGTAAGGCCGCTGTCTGTAGAGCCAGCGTCTCATACGGGTGCTGGTTTGAGTTCTGGCTGCTCCACTTCTGATCCAGCTCCTGCTAATGCACCTGGGAAAGCAGTGCAGGATGGACCAAGCGCCTGGGCCCTGCACCCACGTGGGAGACCTGGATAAAGCTCTGGGCTCCTAGCTTTGGCCTGGCCCCCTGGCCATTGTGGCCATTTAAGAAGTGAACCAGCAGATGAAAGACCTCTCTCTCTCTCTCTCTCTCTCTCTCTCTCTGCCTCTCTGTAACTCTTTTGAAATAAAATACATAAACCTTAAAAAAAAAAAAAGTTTCCTAGCGCAAAACACTTGTGATTCCTCTGTCCTCTTGATCTCTGACGGTGAAATTACCTCGTTGACTGCTCCCTAGTCATGCTAAGGTAAGTAGGAGAAGGAGAAGAAGAAAGAAGAAAAAGGGAGAAGAGAAGGTGGGAGGAGAGAAGAGCAGCAGAGAGAAGGGCGGAGCGGGGGCCATGGTAGCCGGCAGCTAGTGCTGGCCCGGGCTGAGCGCTGGCAGCCTGCTCCGGGAGGGATCTGAACTGAAAAGCTCACCTGGGGAAGGAGGTGGGGCAGGAGAACCAACTTCTCCTCAACTCCGTCACCCAGGGCCACACACTCTGCCCACTTCATCTCGTCTTGCTAGTTCTACAACCCTGAGGTCAGTATTACTGCCCATTTCACAGACAGGACACACTCAGCAGGACTGGGCAGCTTGTCTAAAACACACAGCTGGGGCCGGCGCCCTGGCTCACTTGGTTAATCCTCCACCTGCGGCGCCGGGTTCTAGTCCCGGTTGCTCCTCTTCCAGTCCAGCTCTCTGCTGTGGCCCGGGAAGGCAGTGGAGGATGGCCCAGGTCCTTGGACCATGCACCCGCATGGGAGGACCAGGAGGAAGCACTTGGCTCCTGGCTTCAGATTGGTGCAGCACTGGCCATAGCAGCCATTTGGGGGGTGAACCCAATGGAAGGAAGACCTTTCTCTCTCTCTCTCTCTCTAACTCTGTCAAACAAGCAAGCAAGCAAGCAAGCAAATACACACAGCTACGATGCAGAGCGCTGGGCCTCACAAGCCCGTCTTCCTGGCTCTTGCGGCCAGAACACCGTGCTGGCGCAAGAGGAGCGGGGAGCTCACAGGGTGATACGGGCAGCAGGCTCAAGGCGGAGCTGAGGTGGCCAGACCGCTCAGGGTGGGGACTGCTCAGCAAGCGTCAACACGCACGTGGTCAGCAACTCTGAGGCTGGACCGGGGCGGCCAGCAGGAGGAAGGGCAACAGGGCTGTGTGGCGAGCTTCAGAGGCCCCGTCCTCTTGGAAATGGCCAAGGCCTGTGTCTCCTGGCGTTTGTGTATGAACTGCCCAAAACTTCACGCTTCATGACCTTGACCTGCGGACAAAGCCAGTCCAGGGAGTTGCGTGGCCGCTCTGCACGCTCCAGCACACAGTTCAGGGTCACAGCCTCCCTTGTGCCTGCACTCTGGCCAGACCATGCAGCAGCTCCAGGGTCTTCTGTGATGGCCACTTCCTAAGGTCTGCTGAGCCAACCACACCCAGTGGTGAACACCCATGGCAGGAAATCCAACCAATCAGACCAATATAAACACCAGGAGTGGGCGAGCATCCCTCACCTCTGCTCTTCAAGAATTTTTTTTTAAAGGGTAGTTTGTTTCTCTGAAGGGAGGAGAGAACTTCCACTTTGACTATGGCTGTGTCTACATAGATCGGGAGCTTGTGAACTCAAGAGGCTTCTGTAGCCTTGGCAGCTCATGACAAGAGCCTTGGGTGATTACTGACGTCATAATAAGAGTGTCAATTGTTAAGTCAACAACGGGATCACTGTGCACTTGCTCCGCATGTAGGATCTCTGTCCCTTAACGTGTTGTACTATGCGAATTAACGGTAAACTACTACTCAAACAGTACTCTATACTTTGTGTGTCTGTGTGAGTGCAGTCTGTTGAAATCTTTACTTAGAATATACTAAAGTTGATCTTCTGTATACAAAGATAATTGAAAATGAATCTTGATGAAGAATGGGATGGGAGAGGGAGTGGGAGATGGGATGGCTGTGGGTGGGAGGGAGGTTATGGGGGCAAAAGCCACTATAATTCAAAAGTTGTACTTTGGAAATTTATATTAAATAAAAGTTGAAAAAAGTAATTAATTTGAAAGGCAGAGTTAGAGAAAGGCAAAGACAAAGAGAAAGAGAGAGGAGAATCTTCCGTCCACTGTTCATCCCCCAAATGGCTGCCAACAGCTAGAGCTTGGCCAATCAGCAGCCAGGAGCTTCATCCAGGTCTCCCATGTGGCTGCAGGGGCCCAAGCACATGGATCATCCTCTGCTTCCCTCCAAGGCGCATTAGCAGGGAGCTGGATTGGAAGTGGAGCAGCTGGGACTCAAACCGGCACCCATATGGGTGCTGGCACTGCAGGTGGTGGCTTACCCACTGCACCACAGCACCAGCCCCTCTTCCAGAACTGAAATAAGAAACTATTCCTAAGAGGCAAGAACTTCCAATCTGAGAAAGGAAGTCAACAACTGCTCATTGGGAAGGCACTTTTTTTTTTTTTTTTTTGACAGGCAGAGTTAAGAGACAGTGAGAGAGACGGAGACAAAGGTCTTCCTTCTGTTGGTTCACCCCACAAATGGCTGCTACGGCCAGCGCACTGCACCGATCCGAAGCCAGGAGCCAGGTGCTTCCTCCTGGTCTCCCATGTGGGTGCAGGGTCCAAGGACCTGGGCCATCCTCCACTGCCTGGGGAAGGCACTTTGATACTAAGCCACTATAATGAA